GGAAGAGCTGAGATGGGGGGAGGGGCAACCCGACATTAACACCGACCGCGGCCCCCCCCCCCCCCCTAACACTCCCCCCCCCCCCCCCCCCCGTATCACCCGGCTCCAGGCAAAGCGCCTGGCAGTTGGTCGGCATGTGCAAAGGCCCTGGGGCAGGAGGAAGGTGGTGTGGTGGGAGAGCTGGAAGAGAAGCAAAGGGGCAGGGGCATTGATAGTGAAAGGAGGGTGGCCTGAGAGGGGACACGAGGCCAGGCTGGGGCAGCTTCACCAGCCCTGGCAAGAATTTGGACTTAATGCCAAGAGGAGTGGAAAGCAGAGGAGAGACGCTCCCGCTGTTGCGACCAGCCAAGCCTCATGGCTCTCTGCAGCCCTTCCCATCTTCAGAAGGACACACTTTGGGTCCCACACCTTTAGCTCTTTACTCAACACCCTCACTGTCTCTGGTCTCTTAAAAACACCAGCCTGCTCACCTCCACCCTGCCCAGACCCTGGCCTCAAACGTTCCCTGTGACATCCATGGAAGTGTTGTTCCCTCACCTGGCTCCTGCCTGGCTCCCCATCCTTCCCCACCCCCTGGGCTTCCGTCCCAGCGGAGGCCTCACCTTGCACACACAGGCTGTCAGGATAACTTCCAACCTGGCTCTCTGCTCCAGCTCACTGCCCCTCTAACCCCACCACCAACCTGAGGCTTGGTTCCCACGTGCTCTTGGGAGCCTACTAATAAGACCACTGTGAATGTTTGCAGCCAACAGGGTGGAGACCAAACTCCATAAGGCAGAGCCTTCATGGCCTTAGCAAGCTGGCGCTGTCTTTCTTGCTCTTCCTGCCCCATCGTGGGCCAACCACCTTCCCAACCACCTTCCCAGATGGACCAGCCCTTCAGGCCCAGGCTGCTTGGATTTCGACACCTCCTCCCTGGGTGTGCCTTTCTCCCCTCCCCGCCCCCACATGCAAATTCCTCCTGCCGCAGGGCACCTCCTCTGTGAAGCCTTCCTTCACCAAAAGCACCCCTCCCATGCCCCAGCCCTCTCCCTCTCGTCCCCAGGCAGAACTGCTCACCTGGCTGTGCTGCCTTATGTTCCGGTTCTGGAATCTCTCACACCCAGCTCGGTGCCGACTGGGGGCTGAGTCTCAGAAGCTGCTTTCCAGTTCTTGGGGCTCCCTGGACCTCCCTTTCCTCCCTGGTAGGAAGAAGCCTCAGACCTGGTGCCCTTTCCCTGTACAAACAAGCTAGAACCTCCTTCTGGGGTTTCCTACAGCAGTCTATTCCAGAACCTTGGAGGAGAATAAGCTAGTCTGACGTGGGCAGGTAGGACTGTGAAGGGAATCCTACAGGTTTAAAAACAATCCATTGGAGCCCTGGGTTTTTCCTATAAATATGATTGCTGTCATCCTAAATGTCACACCATCCAGGTTATCTATCCCTCAGTATCAGGTGACAATGATTTTCCTAAAAGAATCACGACCAGAAGACCTGACTGTAGGTGGCCAAGAGCAGCAGCAGATCCAGGGCCAAGGGCAGTAGAGCCGGGTCTCATTGACGCCAAGCAGCCCTAGGACCAGGGCAGGCATTGGGCTTGCCGAGCCGGGGCTGCAGGAGTGCAGAGGGGTTTTATGACAAGTCGGTGTATCACGTGAAACAAGGGGCCTAGAGACAAGAGAAGCCTGGTGATCACAGGCCCTGAGAAGCAAGACGCAAAGGTACCCACGTTCCTTTCCACATGCTGCTTCAATTTTCTGCTGACCTGAACATAGCTTCCTGCAGCATTGCCCTGGTGCGGGCCCCGGAGTCCGGTCTCAGGCAGGGCGGGGCAGCGGGCAGTGGGGTGGGCTCTGGGTAGTGGGTGGAATCCAGCCCAGTGCTTGCTGGCTGTGTCACTTTGGACAGGTCACCTGGCCTGCTAGGCCTCAGTTTCCTGCGCTGTAGATGAGACTTAAAATGGCCCCTCCATGGAGAGTAGGCAAGGTCATTCATGCAGGGCCAGGACCTCAGGGCAGCCAGCAGGCTGGCAGCAAAGCTCCTGAGACGTGTGTCTCTGGTTTGGCAGATGCTGGCAGGGGTTGTGGTGACAGCAGAAGCGTGGGGTGGCAGGGCACTGTGCCGAGTTACATTTAGATGTTACTAAAACCTAAATGGTTACTGTTATCTTGCTTGGATCTATGTGGTGAATTTCGGGCTTCCAAAAATCCACTTGAGGCTTTTTATATACTCACTATTTATAGTCTAAACTCTCCCAAATCCCCAACCCAGCCAAAATCATTCCTGCTGTTTTCCCTCCACCCAGACGCACTAGCAGCAGAGAAGACGGCAGCGTGAACTGCGGCCCCAGCAAGCCCAGCACTCTTTCTCCTCGGGGAGCGAGACCCAGGAACACCTCTGCCCTGTGCGGGGCCACTGGCCACCATGTCCAGTCCCACCAACAACGCCACCAAGCCTGCCGTTCCATACGGTCATTTCCAAAAGGTGGAAAATTTGGTAACCAAACAATATTTCTGTTACCCATACGATTTTGCGTCTAGCTCTCTTCTTCTGGATCAGGGCTAATTCCCTTATTATTTTTCTTTCTCCTGAGCCCCTTTTACCCCAATCCTGTAAGGTGATTTTTCATTACAAACCAGCAGCGTGCTCCCTACAAGCATGTAGTCATCATGGGTCACAGGTCATCACCCTCGTTCTCTCAGTCCCCACCCTTGGGAACCTTCTCGCTCACAGCCAAGATGCTGCGCCTCTCAGGTCAAACTTCATGGAGGGCTTGGGGCACAAGCAGTACCACAGACAGCACAGCAGGAAGTGAGCTCAGGTCCTGTCTCCTGGAACAGGCAGGGGAGGGTCTGGACAGAGCAGATGCCCAGACAGGAGAAGGAGAGGCAGTGGAGCACTGTGGTTAGAGCAGAGATTCTTGAACTGACCATCTAGGTTCTCATTCCAGCTCTGCCATTCCTAGCTGTGTGACCTCAGGCAAGTCAGTTAACCTCTCTGGGCCTAGGTTTTCCCAACTGAGGATAAAATGGGCACAAAATTTGTGTTCACCTCAAATGAGTCAATGTAGATAAAGTGCTCTGACTTGTGCCCTGCGCTTAGACAGCATCACGTAAGAGGTGTGATTATGAGGCCAGACATCTGATTGCTACCTGTAAACACATGCTGCAGAAGTCTGTGTGCGGCTGTGTGAGCACAAATGTGCTCCAGGCCGGCCAGCCCCATGGCGCCGCTCCACGGAGACAGATGCTCCACATCCCAGACACAGAAGGAGCATGCGGCGCACAGACAGCCCCAGGGCCATCAGGAGGGAGCTAGGCAAGGAAGGAAGGAGGAAGTGGGGGCCAAGGAAGGCAGGACAAAGGGGGGGCAAGGAAGAGAAACACTCATGTCCTACTGAGGCCTCTGCCAGGCTTCCACGTACATCTGTGTCTCATTTGTTTTTAAAGCCGCCCCGTACAGTGGTTATGATTCCTCCCGTTTTACAGATAGAAGTGAATGTTGTAGTCAGGGTGGAGGGGTGGTTGTGAAGGCACAAGACAAAGGTGGAGAAGGAAGCCAAGTCACGCCCAGAGGTGCCTGTCCTGTCCCGCAGACAGTGAGCGAGATCCCTGGATGACGGGCAAGGCCCGCGAGGCCTGGAGGGCAGGGAAGCAGAACCCTCCCCTGGTCCACCTGGGGGTCGGCAGAAACGGGCGACAGGCCTGGGGAAGTCACTGGCTGATGGTGACCATCTGTGCCATCCTCACCCCAGGGCTGTGCTCCTGGGCACTCAGGGTCCCTCCAGAACTGCCCCCGGGGTCAGCAGGCTACACTGTTGCCCCTAGAGGAGACAGAGGAGGGAGGAGCCGTGTCTGGAGCAGCCGGCCCAGGGAGGCCAGGAGGGAGGCCAGGGTTTCCAAGCTGGGGAACCCCTGGGTGGGGTGCCCACCAGCCCCGGAGCTGCCTCCACTCTCTGCCTGTGTCACCTCCCTGTCAGAGGAACTCAAGAAAGTGAGTGCCCTGGATGGGGCAAAACTGGTCCTTTGGGACACAAAGCCCGAGGATGCACCCACACCCCATGGCCTTCCTCCAGAGGCAGCAGCATGGCCACATCTGAGGACGGGCACCGCCCACCAGCCCAGGGTGCACATTTCCACAGAGCAGTTGCAGGACTAGCTGGTAGGCTTGCAGATGAATGCTAGATGCCCAGTTAAATTTGAATTTCAGATAAACAATGAAAAAACTTTTCAGTATAAATATATCCCACACAATAGTTGGGATATACTTATACCAATTATTTATCTGAAATTCCAACTTACCTGGCTGTCCTGTAATTTTCTTTGCTAAATCTGGCAACTTTACACGGGGACCAAATGCTTCAGCTGGAATTGGGGAGGGCAGGGTATCACTAATACTTTAAAAATGAAGTGCCAGGCGAAGGTTTTGGTTTAAAAATTCAGAACACCTTCTGATGGGGCCAGGAATCAGGGCAATGCAAACCATTAAGTGTCTTGCTTTCACCTTTTTGATGCCTCCCTACTGAAGGACAAGGCACTCTGTCTATCAAGGGTCTAGAAACATCTTTCTGCCCCCAATGTCTGTTTAGAAGGCAACCCCCTGCCAGTGGTATTTGGAAATTGAATTATACCTTCTTTTTTAAAACAGAAGAGAAAAAGTCTTCTCTCCGGGGCAGCATTCACATGCCCATGAGCTCTGTCATCAAGTATGAATATTCTCTTAAAAATAAAAATTATGGTGTACTTAAAAAGGAGCATGTTATGTCAGCACTGGTGATAAGACAATTTATTACAGTCTACAAAAAGAAGGCTCTAATGATGTGGTGGAAGCTGGCTCAGTGGGCTGTAAATTATAAGCCATTCTCTCACTGGTGGAAATAAATCCTCCTGTCAAGTCACTGCGCTCCCCTTGTCGGCCACGGGCTGCGAAGCGGCAGTAACTACATGCCTGTCACCTGGGGAGCAGCCCCACTCCACCCCTTGGGGGTCCCCCCACTAGTCCACACAAACCTCCCACAACCTCTAGTCACATCTTTGGGACACATGTCCTTTTTGACATGAAAAAATAACAACTGTTTATGGTCTTCTAATAGGCAAAACAAAAAAGAGAAAGAGAGAGGAAGGGAGGGAGGGAGGGAGGGAGGGAGGGAGGGAGGAAGGAAGGAAGGAAGGAAGGAAGGAAGGAAGGAAGGAAGGAAGGAAGGAAGGAGAAGGGAAGGAAGAAAACAGAATGCAGAGTTCACTGGGAGAGGAGCAGGATTCGAGATCAGAAGGCCTCACTGGACACCCTGCTTTGAGGGAAACGCCCTTCCCTCCTGAGCCAGGCTTTCCCCGGCTGGAAAATGAAGGACTTGGGCTGAAGGGCAGACCGACAGGGACTGCTGTTCCCACAGGTGCTGTGCTCCCATGCGGTGATGAGCCTCCTGAGCGGGAGGGGTTCAAGAACAGCTGGGGCAGCACCTGCTGGAGATGGTGAGGAGGGGCCTCCTTCACCCTCCAGGAAGCTGAGCTCACACTGACTCCCAGGGCCAGCTCCCCAATTCCAGAACTCAGTGTAAAGAGCCTCAAGTCCCACCCACCCACCTCTGGCAGAGCTGGTGAGTGCCCCACATCTTCCCCTCCAGTGGCCTTACCACTGTTCAAAAGCGAGCTGTGCAATCAGCCCCTTCCCCTGGAGCCCGCTGTCTGCATCCAGACAGAGATGTGCACACCATGAACAAACAATATGGGTGATTGCTAGGCGATAAATATGACTACATAGGTCTAGTGTGTATGAGCCTGCGGTTAAGTGCTTTCCTAGAATGGCTGAAGGATTAGTTGGCAGGGTTGCCAGACAAATACTAGATGCTGAATTAAATTTGAATTTCAGATAAAGAATGGGAAAAAAATTTTTTTTAAGTAGAAGTATATCCCACACAATAGTTGGGATATACTTATAAAACGATTTGCTATTTATCTGAAATTCCAACTTACCTGGCTGTCCTGTATTTTTATTTGCTAAACCTGGCAACTCTTGATGGGGACCAAATGCTTCAGCTGGAACTGGGGAGGGCAGGGTATCAATAATACTTTAAGAAGTGCCAGGCGAAGGTTTTGGTTTAAAAATTCAGAACACTTTCTGATGGGGCCAGGAATCAAGCTACTCAAATCATTAAAAGTATCTTGCTGAGCTCAGATACAGGCCATTAGGCATCTAGACAGGTTAAAATAACGTAAAAATAAATAAAAACAAAGAAAGACACTGACAGGGAGGGAGATAAGACTAAATGAAACATCTGAGACTACAGTAATAACCCTCGGGGCCTCAGGCAGCAGCATCCATGGGAGAAGTGGTGGCTCGGAAATGGCTCGTGCCAGGGAGGTTTTGCGAGCTGGTGTATCAGGCAGTATTTGGGTGACCCGGGAAGCACCCCTTTGCCTGCCAATCCCCCTTCCATCCTGGCCCCAGCGGGATCTGCCCAGGCCAGGAGTGCCACAGCACCCATTTGCTGTGCTCGTTCCCCGCCCCGCCAGGGTCCTTCCCTGCTCCCGCTACCCACCCTGACACCCCAGCAAAATGGACAATTGTCCAAGTCACAGGCACCCCTCCCAAACAATTCCTATTTCTTCTATTTTGTCATTTCCTTTCACATCTTATCTGTCTTCTTGAGTTTTCAATTGTTTTTCCTCCATTTTCTTGTTACTTATTTTCCCCCCAAAAATGTTTTTCTGATCGTCAGCAAGACACCTGTGCCTATATATAACCCAACGTGAATTCTGTCTGTTGCCCTTTCTGCCCCATGGGACTAGGCACCCGTGAACTTTTCCGTGAACTCTGCTTTGCTGGGGCAGGCGTGGTGAGAGACGCAGCACGTGGGGCAGCTCGGACACCAGGCAGGAGGCCGTGGGGACACACACCGTGCTTTGCAAGGAGGAGTCCAGGAGTAATGTCAACAGCACTGTCTTCTAGTCCAAAAGAGGGGGCAGGGTTAAGGGTTAGCGACTGCAGTTCTACATTAACCAGCCCTTCTGGGGATCTATAGAATAATGACAATGTTTGGGACTGTCGGTGTCAAGGCTGTAAGCAGTCCTAGGGTTGTCTGAGCCACTGGTTAAAGAGAATCTACGATACAGTAATTTACTGAACTGTTCTCTAATTACATGAAAATTGTCATCCACGTCTGCCACACACGGGAACAGGGAGCCAACCATGTTCTGACTAATCTACGTGTTGTCAGGTTCATGGAGAGCTGGCTGTACCTGCCATCGCTGGACCCAAAATTCTTCCTATTCTGTATTATTTTGTGCTTTTGCCCAGAGAAAAATGATGGATTAAAGCAGAAAAGCAGGTACAGGCTGTCCCCACATGAGCACGTTAAAAGGCAAAGAGATATCGAAATGTCAAACTTTTGCCACCAGCCCATCATTTGAACGCTTTTCCAGCCGAGCGCATCTGCAGTGACATCGACCCCTCCCTGTGCTTCACCAGGCAAGGGGGGTGCTCCCGCTGGCCGTCACCAGGGACCTGGACCAAACCCTGATGTGGG